TTTTCTATGAGAAAGTACATATTTCTGGAAAGTCTGTATACAAGAAAAGCAAAGTGTATGTTGTCCGTAAAAAAGGTATAGAGAATAGAGATATTTTTGTTTGTTTTATTAAGAAAGATAAATTTGTCCTAAAGTACTAAGAAAAAAAAGAAAAGAAAGCATAGGACAAATTCTAAATGTAAAAAGTGACAGAAGGTGTGTGGAAGTAAGGCCCTGAGGAGTTTTGTACATGGTCAAGTTGGCTGAAGTAAGCTGGTGGAAAATTAGGATTTGGCTTTCTCTCTTATAAAGGTAATTTTCTTGAACTTTTGGTCTGCTCTTTATATAGAGATTAAAAGGATGTTCCTTTGAGGAAGACTATGTAAAAGACAGAACATCTATGTTTTGTTAAAATAATTTCCTATGTTCAAAAGGACTGAGGTCTCTCTATTAAGGTTTTTGTTTTTTGACTGTTTTAACTCTCTGTTTGCCTTTGACTGTTTCTGTTGTCAACTTGATTAAATGAATAACTAGGCATTGTTTCCTATTTAACCAAGTGTTTTAAAATCTTTTGATATTTTTGATAAACTTCTGCCAAAATTAAAGTCTTTTTTTTAACTTAAAAAGAAATTATAAAAAGACATATGATTATAGTGCCAAAACACAATTGTTACTGTATTTCATGTTGATGCTCATAGTTTTTTAATTTCTACAGAACAAAAATATAACTCTCATGCTGATCAGCTGGTGCAAAGTCGTGCAACGCACAACCCAGGCTTAGCACGATGGGTCCACAAAAAGAGTGGACACTCAGGTGAACAAACTTCATACAGGTGGGCATAACAAAGAGGAATCCTTGTCACCCATGATGATATTGCCACTGCAGTACAACAATGTCAGTTATGCCAACAGTTAAATAAACGGGGAGTTCCACATCCCTACCAAGGTCATATTCAAAAGGGATTATTTCCCACCCATACCTGGCAAATAGATTTTATTGGACCATTGCCAAATTCTTGTGCCCATGTTTATGCCTGCACTGCTGTTGATACATATTCTGGTTATTTATTAGATAGGCTGGCTAAAGTAGCCACCCAACAGAGTGCCATAAAATTATTAGATACAACTAAGTTATACTATGGAACACCAAGGCAGATTCAGAGTGACAACGGTTCCCACTTTACAGGTAAGTTGATTCAAACTTATACAAAGAAAATCATATAGAATGGATTTATCATATACCTTATTACCCCTAAGCTGCAGGCATCATAGAACGAATGAATGGATTGCTTAAACAACAATTGAGGAAACTCAGTCATGGCTCATTAAAGGAGTGGCACAATTATCTAAGTACTGCTCTAAATATGTTAAATAACAGGCCATTGGGCCCTAATGAGACTCCTCTGTCAAGGTTATTACCAGCAAAGATTACAGAAGTGGCAGCCACTACCCATGAGCTTATGACCTTAACATATCGGCCATTGACTCAATCTGCTAAACCGCCTTTTTGTGCCATGTCCGAAGCGGCTGGATTGGACTTATCCACTGTTTATTCTATTCAATTGCCTCCTAAGAGGCAATCTATAGTCCCTACTGGGATTGGGGCACAATTGTCCAAAAACACTTTTGGTTTATTAAAGGGATGCTCTGGATTAGCAGCAAAAGGTATTGATGTACTAGGAGGAGTCATTGATCCAGATTACCAAGGAGAAATAAAATTTATATTATATAATGGTAGTGACACAGTGCTAACTATAAAGTCTGGGAAATGAGTGGGACAGTTATTGGTACTTCCCCTCCTGACTCCAAGTGTTGTCACTCCAACTGAATTAACTAAAAGAGGAATACAAGGATTTGGGTCTACAGGTGGATGGAAACCTGGAGCAAAAGTGGGGGTGACACACCCACCCAATGCGGCTCCCCGTGCCACAGAAGTAGCGGCCCAAGGGCCCACTGCAACACTCACAGTCATGTATCCAGGAAGTAAACAATTATATCATGTTCCTAAAAATTCTGTTTCTTTACATGAATAGATACTTCTGCTATGCTCGCTATGCTGTGCTGCAACTCCATGTCTGCTGCAGACCTACACACCAACTAATGTTTCCGCAGGACAACATTTGACCCTGCACTGCAGGACCAACTGCTCTACACCAGTGGGACCTGTAACCTGGACTATGAATGGCTGAGAAATTTGATCTCAGAAACATCAAACAACTTCTCAATATAAGATAATTTCTCTATTGCCCTGCCTTCTGCTACCCTTCATGATGGGGGCTGGTCTAGACTTCTACAAGATGGTTTGTTAGGCCTAGATGTTACCTTATCTAATGTTATCTTTGATGCTGTACATGATTTGCAAGATCAAGTTACTAATATTTTATATTCTAAGGGATTGTTTGGTTACCTTGGGGTTTGGGTCCTTTATTGCAAGATAGTTTTATAATTATTGTAGTCATTGGATTTTGGGTTCTTGGGTGTGCCTTGTGTACTTGTGTATGAAATTCATTGTCTGTGCATATGGTGTCTTATGGTTAATGGAGACGGCCACAGCCGAAAATGTCTTGACATGAGTCCAGCCATGTTTGGCCGCTCCATTGACCTACAGCCACCAGCGCACAAAGAAATATAAAGCTGCTTTCTGTGTGGTGGGAACTGGCCTTTTTCCTGGGAACTGGCCTTTCTCCCACGGAGATAGTTGCAATTTGTAACATCTCAAGGTCCTTTGGGCATTGTAGCCTGGGGCAGACTGGCCATCTGTGCCGGGCTGGGATGATAACCAGGGAAAACAATGCACATACACAACTGCCGGCTGAGATGATAGGCAGGAGGCTCAGTGCACTTATGCCACTGATAACCATTTGTGCATGGGAACATTGAATGCTTGCTCTGTAAACTCTGTAACTGCTTGCTCTGGAAACTGCTGATGCTATGTAAACTGCTGGAAACCGAGGCCTGGTGAGTCTCACCTGTGGAGGAGATGCCCTGCCCAGGACCTCTGATGATCAGATTCCCACCCAGCCATGTCAAGTGAAGGGACTCTCCCCTGCAGTGGGGCGTGGGTGTTGTGAGTAACCGATCTGATGTGTTCTCTTTTCGGTCAACCTGGTGTTTCTCTTTCTGGTTGATTTGTGTCATTTCCCCTCAGTTGATTTGGTGTTTCCCTTTCCGATCGATCTGATGTTTTTCCCTCTTATTATATGACCTATTTGAATCTGCCGCTATCTCAGTTGATCTGGTGTTTCCCTTTCGGATCGAGCTGGTGTTCTTCCCTCCTATTATTTGACCTATACAGATCTGTTTGTGGAATATCACCTTTACTCTCCTCTATATAATAAAATATACCTTCAGTCCATTTGTTTGGAGTGGAAAGTTTCTTTCGCATCTCGGATGGAATCCCCTGAACCTCTCAAAACAGGGGTCCACTCTTATTTCCTGAAAAATGACTCAAGCATCCATTACCATGGTGACCCAGGTGCCAGGGATGTTATGTAAAGAACCTAGTGGAAGTCGGTTAATATATTGCCTAAGCAGCACAGCTAACAATGGGCAGGAGAACAGCTAAAGGCTATGATTAATAACTGCCAAAAAAACTTTAGCTAGTAGCCACCTAATCACAAATGGCTAACTGTCCCAGTTTCACAAGTGGTCAGAGTTCTGATTCAATTCAGTCCTCATGGTATAAATCCACAGTAATTTTATTATTCTGTGCTCATGACACATTATTATTTGTGCTTCATCTGGCAGATCTAGGTAATAGTGTAGGTGGGGGCAAGATTGAAGGCCAGGTAGAACAATTTGGACTTATTCTAAACCCTTGTTCCTGGTGTTTCAAGGTGATTGTTGGTAGGCTGAACTGAGTCTGTCAAAGACTTCAACCCCTTCCCAGGCTGAGTTAGGTGACCCTTGGGGTAATGGAAATGCACTGATCACAAATTGCATACTGGAAGATTCACTGGGCCCCAGAAGATGAAATGCCTCTCATAGAAATATTAATATTTTTAAAAAGTCTCTTACTAGTAAGCATATTTGAACTGTGAAACCTTTCATAATACAAATGAACTCTTCCCAGGCCTATGCCTACTATATTTCACACAGAAAAGCAGAGTGTGGGAAATTAGCTATCTTTGTTAAAGCATAATTTAAAAAATATTGAAGGAGGATATATCAGATATTTATGTACCTCATTAATTGGGGAACCAGCAGCATGGAAAAGAAGAATTTTAAAGACTGGTTTATATAGTCAGTGTAAAAAAGATTGCTGGAATAGATTGCAAGGTTAGGTATGAAACTAGTTAATGTCCTACAGAGCAGTAAAACCATAACCTCTGAGGCATTTTTTTTTCTGTTGGACAAATCATTTGTATCTCTACCCGCTGACATTTACTAAAAACCTATTATATATGCCAGTGTTTGAATGAGGGAAGATGGTGGCGAAGACAGACTTCCTGGCAGAGGGTTCATCTTGGGTCCACCTTTGGTCAACTAAACTGTTACCAGGAGTCCAGGCCATGCCATTTAAACACGGTTACCATGTAGGTGAAGAGACCAGTTCTCAACAAAAGGGAACCATTGTGAGTTGGCAGGTACTCCACCTGAGTGTGAAGACCATTGTCTCCATGCTAAGGAGGTTGGATTCTGTGTTCAGAGCAGGGGAGAGCCATTGAGGTTGTAACTGGTATGTCTGGTTATCCAGTTCTTAGTGCAATCATACTCCCAGTACATCTGCAGAGTGTAATGCTTCTAAATAAGAGTGAAAAACTCAGAAGACCAGTCAGGACCTCATCCAAAGCTCTAATCTCCACCCTGTTATATGATCAGGTTTCCTGGTGCTTATGAAAGTCTTGGGAGGGGGATGTCCTATCTGGTTAGATCCTATCTTAGAGTATTGATTAGAGGGGAGGGGTCTGCCTGGGAGGGGAGTTGATGCTGCTCCTCTAGAGAATCCCAGACCCCCTAGTGATCACAGGTGCCAGGAGGAGTTGTCCCCTCCTATAATGAATCTTAGGGGCCGGGATGTCCACTTCACAGTGTTGTGCTCGGTGGTGGGGCTAAATGTTTATTTTTTAAGGTCACAGAGTAGAATCTACCATTTGTGATTCTCCTGTCAGTCATAATGATTATTGTTATTTGTAATATTTAAACCATCAGATACTGTTATTATGACATATAAAAAGTCATGAGGAATTATTCTGGCACCATTGTCCAATTAACAGTGCAAGCTAGGAACTTGGAAGCATTCTGGACTCCTTCCATCTCACTGACACCTCACTTCTATCAGTTGCGAAGTCCCAGTGATTCTGTCTCCTAAATATTTCTTCATTTTTTCCCCTCTTCCCGTTACCACTGCCTTAACTCAGGGCATGATTGTGTTTGGATTGCTGCTACTTCGATTATCATTACTTAGATTACTGTAACAGCCACTTAACCAGTGTTGCTGCCTCCAGCTCCACATCTCCAGCCCATTCTCTACCTGCTTCCTGAACTTGCTAAATTGTAAACCTGACGCTATGCGCATAGTTCTCCCCTAATCTTCCTCCATTACTGAAAGTCTTGTAGTGGGTCTCTTTTGCCTTCTGAACAAATCCAAACTTTTTAGCTGGACCCATAAGGCCCTCAAGATTTGGCCCATGCCTACCTGCCCAGTTCATCTCTCACCAGCCCCACACTTGAACCTTCTGTTTCAGATGAACTTGGGCTGCTCAGGTTCTCTGAATCTCCATATTTACATATTCTCTCAGTCTAGGCACTATCTTATCCAGGAAGTGTCCTCAAATCCTCAACTGGGGATGTTTTCTCCCGAGTCCCTATAATCTCCCTGTGTCAGTATGCACGTGTCTGGTTAGTAATTTGTCTCATTACTCACCCAAGGGCACACCTGGGGAAGAATTCCACCCTTACAATAAACCCCCTTTCCTGACACGCTGCTTAATACTCTGTGAATGTGTGTTGAACGATGGATGAGCTGTTGACAGTTTCTATCGAGGCCATGTTTTTCCACATTTGATAACAAGTTGTGAATAAATTGCTACCTTTTTATAAAGTTGTAGGAAGGAATTAGCTTCAATATTTCTAAGCTTTGAAATATTTCTTTTTCAGTGAGTGGTGGCTTGAGGAGAAGGAATTTGACTTTTGCCAGTTTCCTGTACTAAAATGAATTAGAAAAAGTGGTACCAAGGAAACTATGGTTTATTTAAGTATAGACTTCTGGAGGCAAAATAAATCTTCTTCTATTAGTCATTAAATAGTATCAATCCATGTTCCGTGTTCTGTATCATGACTGTTTCCTGCTTTAGTTCTGTGATGCTGCTTGAGATCAATTAAACCTGTGTTATTATTATGCTTACTTTACCAAACTAATCTTTTTTCTTCTTTTCCCCAGTTAGGCTTTGTATCATCTTCCTTCAAAGTCTTATACGTTCATGTCAGAGCTATTGAAAATAATATTCTGGGATCTTATCTGCTTTTGAGTGTTCTTTCTTATTGTCAATTGTTATAATTTAGAGAAGAAAGACATTTCAGAAGTAAACATTTGACTCACTGTCACACCGCTGCCTTAGTTCCCTGGCCTGTGTGATTACAGCACCCAAGGCAATTTTATCCACATTTTCCTGTGTTGCACAAACATTACACCAAACTTGTGCTTGAGGTTTACTTTTCAACTATTCTTCTCTAGCGAAGAAATCTCCATCAGTTTTCCCTCTCTGGGAATGATTGGAATTGACAGATATTCCTGTATAAGAAATGGCTGTTTCTTCCAGAGTCATTCCAATTTTTCTTGTTTACACCAAAGCTTACCTTACAACTCGTCCAAATGCATAGAAAAGAACAATAAAAGGCTACAATAAAAAGTCAGCTAAGAAGAGCCACAAAATAATCTTAAGTGGGAAGTGAATAAGAGAAACCTCAACTAAATTGGAGTCAGGAAAGCATGTAGGGGGAGCTGTCATGCTCTATCACACATCATCAGTTACACCAAACAGGAAGAGCCAGGACACTTGTATTTGGGACAGAAAGTAGAAATACTTTACTACTGAAGGAAGATTTCTCTTCCCACCTGGCAACCGTGCAGCCAATGAGAAGCCCTTGCTACCCTGAGCTGTTACTTTCCCCCAATGGACTTTTATTTAGAACAGCCCCTCCCTACTCCTCCTTTTTCTTTATAAAAGCAGCTCCCCTTCTTACTTCTTGGGATTTGCCTATGGTTTTCCATAACTTGCACATCCTGAATTGCAATTCTTTTGGCTATTCCCTAATACATTCATTTTGAGGCTGTCTTAGTAAAATAACTGGGGAATTTGCTTTTTAAGTTGACATGTATGATGTCAGAAAAGTGGGATCTGAAGGAGGCGACACCCAATGGTTGGCAACGCCCAGAATTGAGCAAGATACCTGTGTCGAGCCCCTTGTACTCATCACTCCTGTGAGTTGCTGCCTGCTTCTGTTTTGTGAGTCTCCTCTTGGATTCCGAGCTCTGCTTTCTTTGTGTTCTGAGCTCTCAGACTTTATTTGGGATTGGGAGAGACTTTGTCCTTTCAGGGGAGGCACTTTGTCCTCCAGGTTCAAGCCTCTGTCCTTGAGTTCAAGGCGTTGCCCTTGGTGAGTACTCAGTTATTTTCTGAAGGTAGCACAGTTCCTTTTGGGGCTCAGCCTTGCCTGGAATCCAGGAGTTTTTGTTTGGCTTTCAGATTCCTTTTGGAACTAGGGCTGGGAATCCAGCAACTTTCTTTTGTTTTTAGATTCCTCCAGGGATCAGGGCTAGGACTCTAGCAACATTATTGAGTTTTCAGAGGACATTTCAGAAATGGGATCTCAGTCATCTAAATGTTCTGAGGGAAACCCTCCTTCAGGGACCATGGCCAGTTTTATGTTTAAGAACTATGGGCCCCCTACATGTGCATTTTTAACTAAGTGGGCCAAACAGACCAAAAGCAGTCCAGAATTGCAAGGGCCATTATAGGGAACTTTTGATCTCCCAAAACTCCCTTTTCTTAAAACCAAATTAGAAGACTACAGCTCTAAAATTAAGCAAAATGAATGGTATGTCTATTTTTATTGGTACCTGGAGGCTTCTGGATTTCCACAAACACAAGCTCTAAAATCACCTCGCGGCAAGATACCTTGTCTAAATTAGCCAAAACAACTAAAAAACTGAGGGAGAATAAAATGGCTTCTGAAGCCTCACGTTCTCTCCCCCTTCTTCTCTGCCTCAGGCGCCATCTTGTTTGTCTTCCCAGACTCCTTTGTCTCAGGCTCCACCCCTGACACCACCTTCCTCTCTTCCCCTCTGTGGAACCCTGCCCCTTTAAGATCAGACCCCCTGAGGATTCAAATGCTAAATCCCTAATTACTATTCTAACTTAACTGGAGCAAATAAACAACTAGAGGGTAAAATTTAAATAGCAATTACCCTAGACTGTGCTGGTCTGTACCCTGTGCAGACTGTACCCTGATAATAGACAAAATGACACCAAAAACAGCTCTAAAAGGATCCTTACAGTGTGCAAACAAAAATCTTTAGTAAAAGACTTTGGCCATGTGAATAAGTAATCTTAACTTAGTCCAGCTGCCATAAATACAATTTGGATTCAACTATTCTTTTGAGTTTTATGTTATTGTACCTGATTCATAGAGAAAGTTTTAAAATGAAAGCTCTGATTTTTTTTTTGTGAGGTCAGCCCTGAGCTAACATCTGACGCTAATTCTCTTCTTTTTTGCTGAGGAAGAGTGGTCCTGGGCTAACATCTGTGCCTGTCTTCCTCTACTTTATATGGGATGCCGCCACAGCATGGCTTGATAAATGGTGCATTGGTGCACGCCTGGGATCTGAACCTGCGAACCCTGGGCCCTTGAAGTAGAGTGCGCACACTTAACCGCTGCACCACCAGGCTGGCCCCTAAAATGAAAGCTCTGAGATCTCTGTTTATGTCTATGTGTCTATGTATGTATGTTATGGAGATGTGATATTTTTCTCCCTTTGGATGGTGTTGCCAAAACTAATTTGTAAAGAGCTCTATTTAATTGACTTGAGATTAAGCACTTATAAATTAAGTATTCCTAAACCTCAGAAATATAACAGAAACTAACCCAAATGTTTTAAAGTTTATGTGACCTAAGATTAATTTTTATTAAACAAAAGCTTGCTTAATGTTGTTGGTTTAAGTGAAACAGGCATGTTTTTAGAGTAGTCAACGCTGAATATAAAGCAGACACACAACTTTCATTCTATCTAGGTTTATTAAATTCGTGTTATCTCTGTTACAAAATTTGTCAGCAAGAAAGTAACTTAAGATGGTAATTAGCTATTTAATGTCTAATTCAAGCATGATTGTTAAAAGCAAGTAATTTAAATCAATGTAAATAAGATCTAGGTTTATACTAAGTTGAACTAAATAATGGATGGTCATTGAATATCTAAATCACGTCCAAATAAGATGAACATCAATTACTGAATGTAGATTTATCTACTTTTGGCTTCATATTGTTGAGAGGCTAAGACATTTGAGTCTATTAGTGAACACGTTTTATGCCATGCTGAGAAATTTTCTATGAAAAAAGACGTTTCTAAAAGTTTATAAAAGGTGTTTATAAGTTCACCAAGCCACAAAATATATATAAAATATAGTTCATAGTTGCTTATTTCTTAGTTTTTCACAAGACATTAAGGATTCTAAGGGTTAAGAATTCTATCAATGTATGTAATAATAAGGGAAACATCACGGTATGCAAGGAAAGTAGGATATTTTGATAACACAAAGAATGAGGAATAGAAATGCATTTTGTTGAGGGAAAAGAAAATAGTTTTATCCTAAGGAGGAGCTAGTTATTTTGGACTGGGAAAGAGGAAAACATAGGACAAAATCTAAATGTAAAAAAGTGTAGAAGGCTTGTAGAAAGGAGTCTTGGGAAAGTGATTTTAATGTGTAGTCAAGTTGGCTAAGATTAAAATGAATTTATTAAAATGAGTTTTAATACCAAAATAAGCTGATGCAAGATTAAAATTTGGCTTTTCTGTTGAAAAACAAGATTTTCTTGGGCTATAGGTCTGCTTTTGATAACAGATTGTGAAAGCGTCTTTACCTTTAAGTAATATACCTAGAAAACAGAGATTTTGTGTTTTATCAAAATAATTTCCTGTGTTGTTTCTATCGTCTTCAATTACTTAAAAGAACTGAATCTTCTTACTATTAAAAAAGGTGAATTTTACTTACAACAGTGTAACCATTTATATTTGTCTTTGAAACCTTCTATTTTTAATTTGGTCAAATAGATACTTAAGTATTATTTCATAATGATCTGTGACCTTATTTGGTCAAGTGTCCAAATCTTTTGATATTTTTGACAAGCTTCCCAAAATATTCAAATTCTAAATGAAGTCTTATCAACCTGGCTGTAACTTTGGGATTTTTTAGAGGGCACCAGGGACATCTCAAAAGATTTGTTTCCTTTCTTTATAAAAAGAGAGATATTACACTAATTAAGCTTATTTGGTATGTCAAGTTACGTGAGAAGCATGGTCAAATAAGTAATAATAAGCCTTTTTAGGTTTTATTGTATGGCTG